TAGGACAGCAATGGTAAAACCTCCTTCCCTGGTGTAATTACGATGCTCTGGCTGTAGGTCGGGGGGATCAGCGAGATTAGTGAGATCAACATCAAGCTGTAGGGCAGTTGCAAGGAAATCTGATGGTGTATACAACGGCCGATTGAAAGTGTGAAGTGTGTGTTTTCATCAAATGGTCATTTCACTGCTGTAGTCTGAGTGGTGTTAGGCCTACCATGCTTGTGTACTTGAGCACACCCGCGTGTTCTTACATTGAGTGGATCAGCACCCCAGTTAAAGTCCCCAAAAAATAATTCCTGAACATCCAACCGATAACCCTTATCGTCATAACATTCAGCACAGTTGAGCTCCCAATCATTCATCAACACGCAAAACCACATACACCATTCGTCCAATAGCAAGGTACACCAGCAAGACATAGCACAGAATAGGCAACCCAAGGATACCTCAAGAGTCAAAACCCATTTGATTGTCTAAAGATTTGACAGCACTTCAAGAAGATCCAAAATCAGTTTATGGCTGTTAATGTAGCACTGCCACTCTGGTAAGGGAATGGGAGAGGATGAAACAATCTCAGGAAATCCAACATGAATCACTGATTATCTATTCTTTCAACATTATTACAAAACGGCAGCAAACATCGGAACATAACAGGTTCCTAGTATTACCACAATAGAGTAGCAGTCAACAAAAAAATTTGAAGCTTGAAGAAAGCATAGATAGACGACTGGCGGAAGAGGGATTTGAACCCCCAACATGCGAATTATGATTCCGCTGTTCTAACCTACTAAACTATTCTGCCTTGAACCACTTGACATTTCCCCTGGTGGGGTTAATGCGCCACAAGTGCCCTACCTGTACGCTTTCTTTTCATTAAATTCATAATCCCGACCGTTCAGACTTAAGTTGTTGTGGTCATTTCTTCATGCATGCGAGCGCATTGCCAGCTTTCATTTCTTTGTAAGAAATGAGAGAGTGCACACCTGGTTGTCGTCAACCTTGCTCTTGTTAATTCTGTTCATGTACCGCTGAAAAACAGGTCCATGATCCCTGCAAACAAACAGCCAGCAACCAGAACCAGTCAGCACACTAATCTCTC